ATGTCAATGAGACTACTGCTTTAGTCTCTTGCTTATCTGGATTTTTACGATGTATTTTTACGCGTCCTTTTTGCAGGAGCACCCCTATTGTTAATGAACAGAGGGCCCCCCTCCCCCCCCTCACTTTGACCTTGAATAAAGTCCATTCCAGATTCTAAGAAAGGAGTTTAAGAAGTAAATGAAATGAATCTTTACTTAGATACTTAAAACAGGAAACAACAATGTTTAGCTTTATATAGGGTGCACTTTATTTAGGGTATGGTGGCTTCATGAGGGGTAGCCTTTCCAGAAGCCTTTCCAGAGTCGTTTTGATCAAATTTCAACGCCGTTTAATGCAGAATTTTCAACGCAGGACTTGCGTTTAGCGACGCTGTCGGAAGCACAGTGGCGCCATTACTCGGCAAAAGCCGTTGTACAAACCCTGAAGTCTACGCAACCGTGTCAGAAAACAAAAACAAAAAACAAACAAACACTGTTTGAGACAAAATGGAAGCAAAAAACAAAAAACAACTATAGTACTGCATTGTCTCAAACATTGTTTTTGTGTTTTGTTTTTGGGTTTTGTAGTATTCCCTCAAAGCTGTTATAGGCCTGGTCCTCACAAAATTGATCTAAAAATAGCTGAAAACCTAGGTTTTGGTGATGTTTTTGCAAAAAACACTGAAAAAGCAGTGGTATTGCTCATGTTTTGCGTGAAAAACATCTCCCAGGAGCACCCGTATTGTAAAAGTTGAGACTGAGGTTGATCTAGGACGCTCACCAGCGCGCGGCTAAATCGTTGCTATGTGCGGTTTCATTCACCTTCTGCCCTTGGCATCTTGAACTGCTTTTTTGACAGGCTTGTGTTTGCGCAGTGATTCTTGATGTGCTGATTTCGCGGGAGGGGCAGCGCATTGTGAAGGTACGTAATTTTGTGGCTGGCGCAGCGCTGTGTGAACCTCCAAATGCACATTCTCCGCCGGGGCAGGACAGGCGCAGCATTTTGCGACCTCGAAGTGTAGATTTCGCAGGGGCCTTGAGGCGCAGACTTCATGGCAGGCGCCCCGTCTTGTGAACCTCCAAGCGCAGATATCGTGGCAGGCGCACCTCTCTTATTATCTATGCTCTCATGCGCGCGCTGCCTGTATATTAAGTGTCTGTGCGCTATCATTTCGCGCTTGCGCGTGTGTGCTTTGACACTTGCCCTTTCCTGCGCGCTCTCTCATATGCGCACATTCACACGCGCGTTTGCTTTCAGAATTTCATGTGCTTGCTCATACATTTGCGCTCGCGCATTTGTGCTCTCACGCGTGTTCTTTCATTAGATGAGTTCTTACAGGCGCCCTTGTTTATGTTTGCTCTCAATGTGCGCGTGTGCTCTCATACGTGCGCTCACTCACGCCCGTGCTTTCCTGCGCGCGCTTTTGCGCATGTCTTCTATGCGTGTGTTGCCTCACACGCTCTACCGGTGCCGTCATATGTGTGCTCTCACGCGTGCTCTCATCCATGTGCTCTCTTATTCTGCACTCTCACGCGCACGCTCTCGCACATGTGCTCTCATGTGTTTGGCCACATAAGGTTCTCACCATTGGCGCACTCTCATGTCAGCATTCTCACACGAGCGCTTTCACATGCGCGCTCGCTTGTGTTTAGCCCTCGAGTTTGTGCTCTCTCATACCTGTCCTCTCACGTGTATCGCATTTTGTTCTGACATGTGTGCTTTTTACCCTGCGCTGTTGCAATTGTAACCTCTCAGTCTTCTCACATATGTGCTCGCGTGTGTGCGCTTTAGAGCGCAGAATTTGGCTTATTCAACCTTGTTTCCTTTCTACTTGTATAACACATCTTAACATGTTTTAGAGTCTCTTGCCGGGATAGTTTGTGTTGCAATGTGTTTGTTGTGTCTCTCCGTCAATTAGATTCTAGGCCCTTCTGTTCCTTTCTTCAGAGGTTCAATTGAGGAATGTGTGTTGAGTTTTTGCGATTATACAATTCTTCACTGTTCTTCTTCAAGCGGCTTCATACATGAAAGGATTGCGCGATGTTCTTTATGTTCTCTACTGCATACTAGCGCGACGGTTTGCAAAAAAAAGTACAGTATCAAAACTCCTTTCTGAAACCCTTCCTTTTGTGAAACACCTTGTTTAAATCTTTTCGTTTTATCACCCTTTTTCAGACCTTCCTGTGTCGCGCCAAGTTATTGTTT